AGTTGGACGATTTATTTAAACAGTTGTCAATCGTATTTCCTTTAAACAGTAGCACCCTCATTGGTTTTTGTTATTTTACTTGTTGTGTAAGTCAATAACTTTTTCGTGCTATTTATGTTGCTGTGGATAATCGGAGTGTTTTCTAGAGTTATCTGAAGATGTAAGGATTTTTTAAAGTAATCCTTGGTAAGTCAAAATTGTGTTGAGTAATCTTTGGGAAGTCATCATTTTGTTGAATAATCCAATTGAAGTCAGTATTTTGTTGAGTAATCTAATTGAAGTCAGCATTTCGTTAAGTAATCTAATTAAAGTCAGGATTCGATAAATTCTTACTAGCGGCTAATCATGGGGACAAACAATGATCCAGATGTAGACAAACTAATGAGCTCAGCAAACAGCAACCAAGACAGAATGAATCCACAACAGTGTAGTCCCCTATTGACACACACCCATAGCTCGTCATGGACCGTGACGTAGCACATTTAACATTATTAAAGTTAGCCGCATTTCTTTGCCCTGTCTTACTGTATGGGGACTTACTGCTGTGTGCCGACATACCGTAAGATTTATTCTCAGGTATTTGTTCTTCGATCTCCTAGTAATAATCTTCTGAGTGTGGCTAAATATGGATGTATACGTAATTTGTTTTTGGTGGTAGTATCGCGGGTTATCTTTAAAAAAATATCAGTTTTGTGCCTTCGGGCTAATCCTTTGACACACACAATGTTTATACTTGGATTACTTCCAACCATGTAAGTTGTATCACAAATGTTTTACCTGTTAACTTGTAACAAAATTATGTTCATCAAATCACACTTTACCTGTCATATTGAGCCTTAGTGGTGTTGTACGACGAAAATGGTCGATATTTCGCTTGATACATACCACTTCGAAAACTACAATTAAAATTTCCCTTTACAAACATAATTATTAGAAATGCTCTCATAGTAAACTAGAGGTGGTTTATGAATTCACATGGCAACATCTTTTTGCGAAAATAAATACAATTTTAATTAATTTAATACAATAACTATACCTTTGTTTTTATTGTAAGTTGTTTAATTAACTTAGATAGTTTTCCAAGAACTCTATTACCCTACGTTCGTTTCTTAAGCGGGCGCGAAATTCGCGTCGTCCCCATAGATCCATATGCTAATTCTGCATATGTTGTTGAATGTAGATCAAAGTATACGTGTAGGCCTACTTCAAATACCACATTTTTTGTCGGTGTCATCTCGCGGGCAAGCTATAAATAACCCGGGTGGTTTTTTTATCCCGCCCAACAGTTCAGTGTAGCCGAAAATCCTGTTTGTGGCACTTCATGCTTCGATGGATTACGAGATTTAGTAAGTCCTTCCCTTCACTTTATATAGATCTATCCGTGATTTCTTCATTATCTCTTTGCAATTTAGAAGCGTATTCAGCATACGATTGTAGTTACTTAAAGAGTCCCTGTGAATGATGTAGATGATGTAGATCGAGATCTTTTGGATGTCACGATTTCCAAACTTAAATGCACGCCTGCCTACGCCAACTGGTGATAGGAAAGACGCAACGGCGGCATCAGAAATATACATAGACAACAAAAATTCAGGAATAAAAGTAAAGTTGCAATATTTAAATGGCAGTACAAATGTAATTATGTATCACTTCAGGTTTTTTGGCATTTGCTTTGACTCATTATAAATAACAATTGATCAACTTAGTATCTTGATTTCTGTTAGTTGCGTCCAATTTTTCAATTCGATAAATTACTTAATCCTTCAAAACATTTAAAATTAGAATACGACTGTAGATAAAATATAAAACCTTAAATTATATTAAATACTACATTTGTAGACATTTAGATTTAATAAGTATTTCAGATGTTTAAATGATTTTACCAGCGTTTGAAAATGTGTTTTCATTCATAACCAAATTAGTACATAGAAACGTATGTGTAATGTATGTAATTTGTAATAATAACATGTTATTTTGCGATGCTGAACCTGCCCAATGATAACAGTCGGTATGAAAACTCACACAAAGAATCCTTTGACAACTACCTTACTTAGCACAACTCAGCTACCGGCTCTTTTCCCTTATCTTTATCGTTTACATCAGGGGTCTCCAAACTTTTCAGTCCGAGGGCCGCATTAAATATCAAATTTCAGTTCGGGGGCCAGTTTCTTCCAGGCATGTCTTTGATTTTTCTGCGCAAAGTTCCTTAGCCATCACCAACAAACGATTTTTCCTTGGGCAAAAAGATCTCCGCGGGCCGGATTAGAGGACTTCGCGGGCCGGATCCGGCCCGCGGGCAGTAGTTTGGAGACCCCTGGTTTACATTATCGTAGGCGCTTCGACGTGTGTCCTCTTCGGGTAGAGAAATCATTCTCTTATGGTACGGCTAAACCAAGTGATGCGAAGTTGTTTTTTTGTGTGGTTGACATACCATTGTCATCTGTCACGTTTATTGTATCTTCAAAGGTACGGGATCGCAGGCAAGTAAAAATACTAAACGCGACACTTAGGACTGGGGTTAAAGGTTATGGAACAGTGAGGAGGGGTGGGCTGTGTGTGTCCCATCTTTCAGAATAAACGTATAAAATATAACGTTTTTTAAATTTTGTTTGAAGAACTATCTTTCTATCGTAGATATATATTCAATTTTTTACAGGGTACTTGAACTAGATACGGTTATTTAAACTAAAGAGAAGCACACCTAAAAAATCAACACCGCTATCTCGTTACATTTTAACCAAAGCCGGTATGTTACCTTTTTTTAATGCCGAGTCATATTGACAACTGCAATCTTATCTGTTGGCATACCATGGTCCGTATGGTGTGACTTTTACTAGCTGTATGTAGCCGGTTGTATGTAGCCTCTTGGCTACGCATGTACTAGATGTACTGTTGTATTTAGCTTATACGATACATGTGTACAAGATGTATTGGTGTATTTTGCTTATTAGCTACACTTGTACTCCATTTACTTGTGTATTTAGTCTTTTTCTATACACTTGTATGGTGAGTGTAGCCTGCTAGCTACATTTGTGTTGATAAATGTAGCCTACTAGCTACATTTGTATTGATAAATGTAGCCTTCTAGCTACTTTTGTTTTGATAAATGTAGCTTAATAGCTACGCCCAATGTGCTATATGTCCTGCAGTTCTCTAACATTGGAATGTTCCTCTCATTGATTTATTGACTCTAGGATGACGTAAGGTATAGATTTATATTGATCCGGAAATGTACACTGTATTTTTAGTGCTGTGATATACCAGTCCAGTAATTATTAAAATCTTGTATGGGGAAATTATTTCAACTATTTTTTGTTAAATACCGTCTTTCCTTATCTGGAAGATATTTTTTTTTCCAATGAAAGTAATTACACATGTACTTACTTAAAGCTTACATCTTTAACGAAACGAGTAGTTTAACCTGCAGTTAGCATTACCCCAAAACATAACTACGCTGCTTTTTTTTTATAGATTTGGTAAATACTTGCTGTTAATACATCTTACTAATTTTCTACGTTTCGCTCCTGAGCACACCTTTTTGTCCCATTCATCACACAATCCCTGATGACAAGCCCAGTCATCAGGCCACAGGTGGACCACCACCTTTACCCACCTCTTCTGCGCCTTTGTTTCTTCTGTACACCATTGTACGAACACACGATTCAATAACATGCTTTAATAAACACAGAAACAAATCTGATTAAATTATTGAGGATAAAACATGCACACAATGTGGATACAATAATGGAGGTTAAAAACATACACGATAAATGATTATATCAAAAACTATTAAAACATTTCTCACAGAAGGGATTTTATTTTTTACAGCATTTTAATTGAAAATGTTAAAATAAGTAGATAAACTAAGTTTAATTACGTTGATCGCTACTCGTACTGACTAGCTGTCGGTACCCGTTACACGTGAATTATAAGCCTATATATTTTAATGTTAAACTTGTTTGAGGAAAATATTTTATAAAATAGCCATTGGTCAAAAGGCTATGTGCTTTACTACACATTGGACGATATGTACGCGACACAGACTGATTATTGCAGTTCTTGTTTGAAAGTCCATTAACGTGATTTTATGTTCTGTATGCACGGTATGCAGTCTACAATAGTTTCTATGAATGTCTTTTACCCTTAAGTTGCTTTTGTTCTCGTTACTATTTTGTGGCAATTGGTATGAATCTAGTTAACTTTTCTTAACTACAATCGATATTTCAGATTGACGTACGAAAGAACTAAGCATTTGACACAAACTAACTGTTAAGGTTTATCTAGTAACGGTTTTTGTTTTAGCCTACAGCATGGGCAACAACCCCGGCTGACTGTAAACCTTTATGACAATCTCCTGTTGTAAATGTGCAACAACCCCGGCTGACTGTAAACCTTTATGACAATCTCCTGTTGTAAATGTGCAACAACCCCCGGCTGACTGTAAACCTTTATGACAATCTCCTGTTGTAAATATGGTACCAGTTCCCCCGTCATGACAATATGCCGTGTGTGAGCATGCGCAGAAGCACCGTATTTGTATTGATAAAACCGAGGTCACATTATCGCTGATTCATCCTAGTTCACCTGAAAGAAACCACTTGTAAAAGTGATACATTTTTTAAATTGACCGTCATTTTGTAATGTAACATTAGCTCAGCATATAAATACTGGATATAGCTTATGATGAAATGGCAAAAATTGTGGATGTATTAAAATGAGTATACTATACTGTCTCACTCCAAAGGTGTTGGTGGTCTGAGTGATATACCCAATTAACTAAGACCTAAGACTAAAATGTATGTTACTCGTGAAGCTGGCGGTCTCTCTGTTGTTTACACAGCAGTCATTGGGTGTTTTTAATGCAAAAATTTTAACATGATTTTAAAGTTTTTAGTTAGTTTATTTTCTTTTTAATTTTAAGTTTTGTGTAAATGAAAATCAATCAGAAAAAAATTACCAGATGTAATAAATGTAATGTGTATTTTTGTTTTTCTATATAGGTGTTATGGATTTAGCTGTGCCTGAATCTGTTTGCATGCTGCACAAGACACACATCAACGTACCTGATGGCATCGAACTACTCCCACTCACCTGTATGGAGCACCACATCCTCAATGCAGCCCCAGCCCAGGGGGGAGCAGATCCTGCACCCTGGGCAGCTGGGCCAGATGACGGGCAACACGTGCCCACAGGCCGGACACTCGGACACCAGGATCTGGGAGGCGTACCTTCGCGACCAGACCACAGCGGCCTGTAGTCGGCCCATGCCTCTATCGGTGTACATGATGCGTGCACCCATCACCAGCGTGTCGTCAGACGGCAGCATGCACTTTACCATCTCCAAATATGCTGATGAAGCACTTTCCGCTATCAACCAGTTTAGACTCGAAGGCTCCCTCTGTGATATTGCGCTTCGAATCCAAGGGGAAGAAATCCACGCGCATAAAGTCATCCTCGCTGCCTGCAGTGACTATTTCAGGGGGATGTTCACACGAGGGATGAAAGAATCAAACGCCAGCTCTGTAGAAATTCTCGAACCCAGTCTAACAGCCGAGATTCTGCGAGAGCTGGTCAACTTCGCGTACACGTACGAAATTCACGTGACGCAGGACAATGTCCAGTCTCTGCTGGTCTCTGCGATATTTCTCGAGATGAAGCATGTGGTAGACGCCTGCACGCTGTTCATGGAACAGCAACTGGACCCCAGTAACTGTATAGGTTTCGCCTACTTCGCCGCGGCGCACGGCTGTTGTGATTTGGAGAACAAGGCCAAGAAATACATTCGTGAACATTTCTGTGAGGTCATCAAGTACGACGAGTTTCTCACGCTAGATGTCAACGATGTCATCTGTATCATTCAGAAAGATGAACTCAATGTCAAGTGAGTGATGTTTCCATTATGCTCTAACGTGACACCTGCATTGTTAATGTTGTTTACTAGATCAAAGTTTAACATAACAATAGGCTTATTCATTATTTGCGGTTAATGAGATGTAATGCCCGCATTATTGAATACCAAACAGTTGAAGGTGACTGAATAATTTATACCATAGGTAGATTAAAGAAATAGCTTTAGATTTAGTATTGGAAAAGAGAAATCGTGTTTAGTGTAGGTTACAATAACAATGTGACACCTAACATTGGAACGATTTTTCGTTTAGTTAGTTAATGATTTTTTTTTTCCAGAATGGTGGTAATGAATTAAATAAAAGTTTAAAATAAAAACTACAACCAATGCGTTATGCGATTGAACCGATGAGAGCTCACATGTGTCTTGTGTGTTCATGTGCAAGGCGTATAATGTGTTTACGTTATAGGCGTGTGTAGTGTGTTTACGATTAGTTTACGTGCAATGCGTGTTGTATGTTTACGTGTAGTGTGTTCATGTGCTAGTCGTGAGGTGATGTGCTAGGCTTGTGTAGTGTCGTCATGTGCTAGAGTTCTACAGTGTGTTCAGATGCTAGGCTTCTGTAGTGTGTTTTGATGCTAGGCTTCTGTTGTGTGTTCAGATGCTAGGCTTCTGTTGTGTGTTCAGATGCTAGGCTTCTGTAGTGTGTTCAGATCTTAGGCTTCTGTAGTGTGTTCAGATGCTAGGCTTCTGTAGTGTGTTCAGATGCTAGGCTTCTGTAGTGTGTTCAGATGCTAGGCTTCTGTTGTGTGTTCAGATGCTAGGCTTCTGTAGTGTGTTCAGATGCTAGGCTTCTGTAGTGTGTTCAGATGCTAGGCTTATGTTGTGTGTTCAGATGCTAGGCTTCTGTTGTGTGTTCAGATGCTAGGCTTCTGTTGTGTGTTCAGATGCTAGGCTTTCTGATCACATCCTGCTATTGCCGCTAAAAAAAATAACGAAGTTAAAAAATCGTCGGATTTCCGAGCGTTGAAAAAAAAACCTCTACAATAGTGTTGATTTGATACATAGACGGGACGGTGGCGGTCTCTATAATCTGTATCTTGTGTTTTATCATCATCTTTTCCCTTTCGTGCAAGACACATGGGTAGATGAAGTAGAGTTCATATGTTTCAACGACCTCGGCATGCATGGGTATATTGATGTCAGCACTTATTCCCAGCTACCGTAGTTTACCTAATGTGAGTCAGGTACCCATCCGGGTTGGGTGGAGTTTGGGAGCTCCTACACACTCGAGCCCGTATAATCAGACTATTGACCCGTATATCTGCTCAAATACATGACTTCATTACTAGATATGTTGGTTCATCTTTCTCAAAGTTTAAGCTATATTCTGTCATTTTAGATCTGAAACTTGGATGCCATGTGTAGTAGTTAAGAAAAAGTCTACGACTCTATGTTCAAGTTGTATTTTGTTTTATCCCAGGTGTGAAACGGAGGTCTTCCAGGCAGTGGTCAGATGGGTGGAGCACGACTCAGAGAAAAGAATCGGCCAGCTGGAAGATCTGCTGGAGAAGGTCCGTCTCACGAACCTGGCGCCGTGTTTCCTCGAGGACCAGCTGGAGAAGTGTTACATCATCAACCAGCTGCCCAGGTGCGTCAAGCTTCTCCTGGACAAGCTGCGGAGCCTCAAGCAGCACCGGACCTGCTCGGATAAGCCCAGAAAGCCTTGCAAGCCTCTAGTCATATACGTCGTGGGCGGGTTCTATCGTAAGGTCATGGACTCACTCAAGTGCTTGGAGTGTTACAACCCCTGCAGTAAAGAATGGACTCGCCTGAATGACCTGCCGAACCCTAGATGTGGCCCGGGGGTCACGTCGCTGCTGGGGTCAGTGTACGTGATAGGTGGGAGCTTCAAGTTCCGGGGTGAGAACAGGGACCTGGCTTCTCTGGACATGTACAACCCAGAGGAGAATATGTGGATCTCTAAAAGTCCCATGCGTGTAGCCAGGAACAGAGTGGGTGTGGCGGTTCTTGACAACAAGATTTACGCCATAGGAGGGTCTTCAGGGGGAGAGCAGCATAAATCTGCTGAGAGGTTTGTTGCTTTTCTTTTTTCTTTCTAGTTCAAGTGTGAAGTACTAAAATTACCCTTTAAAACCTAGCTCACCTGTATCAGAGACCTTGCCATATGAAGGGATAGTATTGTTAGAACTATGCCCAGTCTGCCTCTACTTTCCCTAGTGTGTGTCAGATATCCATCAGAGCTGGGTGTATAAAAGGGAAATCATATGGCTTCCAAACTCATGACTTATTTTTTAGCAGTTGTAAGCTCAGTCATTAGACCATGCTGCCTCATAACAAGAATGTCCTGATTATCATAATATCATATTTCATTATTCAAATCCTAATGTAGATGAAATTTCTAGGTCTTTGATATAAGCCTACAATCAACCAGGCATTAAATATAAAGAAATATTAAGTTACTGATGTTTACGTCACAAGGAGAAAATGGTTTTAAATTCCTAGTTGCCTTAGTCATTAGTATTTTTAGTATGCATACATTACTCATAACTAGATGTAATATTTCCAGTATAGTGCTATGTTCCTATCTAAAAATCAGTTAAGCATTAACATATAATTGTTTTGTTCATTGAATGTAAAAGTTCTGTAAGTTTAAAGATCACGTTGTTCCAGGTATGACCCAGTCCTGGACAAGTGGGAACCAATCAAAGATATGAACTCAGTCAGAATGTCAGCAGGTGTTGCTGTGGTCAACAGACTGCTGTACGCTGTGGGGGGGTTTGATGGCAGGACCAGGCTCAAGTCTGTTGAGTGTTTCCACCCAGAGGAGAACCAGTGGCAGGATGTGGAGCCAATGAATGAAGCAAGGAGTGGCGCTGGTAGGTCTTATACTTGGATGAGAAATTTGTGATGTTTGATATTGTATTTAGTTCAGATAGGTGGAGAGTTATTGATCTAGATATGACCACATTTTTATTGTATGTTTATTAGTACTGTGATGAACAACATGAATACTTGAAGCTTCATTTCATCTATACATTTAAAACACATCTAAATCCTGTTAAATAGCTCAAACTCAAAGCACTAATATTTGATTTAAAAAGATGCCATAAAATAAAATATTCTATAGTTTTATGTACTTAACATTAGAAGCACATATTTAATGCAAAACCACATTTCATGTTAATTATTTTGTATCTAGGGAAACAAATTCGTTTCCAGACTAGATTTTTTTAAAGCCGTTTGTTCAAAGTTTGCGTACATGTTGAAATATTTGATATACTTTTTAAAATTAGTTGTAGTTTAACTAATTAGTATATAAATAGAATTGTTGTAAAACATGATATCCATTGTTTTTGTGTAGGCGTGGTTGTGATGAACGGCTACATATATGCTGTGGGAGGATTTGATGGTCAGAACCAGCTGCGGACTGTGGAGAGGTACAACCCTAAGGAAAACAAGTGGGAGTTTGTCTCCTCCCTGTTGAAGGCTCGCAGTGGCGTGGGAGTGGCTGTCATTAACAACAAACTTTTTGCACTAGGTGAGGCCTTGTCTCAGAACGTTGACAACCTTTCACATTTCTTCAATGCTTTAGATATTGTCTCAGAACATTGACAACCTTTCACATTTCTTCAATGCTTTAGATATTGTCTCAGAACTTTGACAACCTTTCACATTTCTTCACTTCTTTTGACAAGCTTTTAAATTGGTTCAGTGCTTTAGACCTTTCTCAGATTTTTGACAAACTTTGGCATTTGTTCAGTTCTTAAGACCTTTCTCAGATTTTTGACAAACTTTTGCATTTGTTCAGTGCTTTAGACCTTGTCTTTAATGTTTTACTACTAAAATTACTGCCATTGGAGAGTTGGACATGAATCCCTTCTGGAAGCGTCGACATACTGTTATTTACAGTGACTATTTTCAGTATCTTTGTTTACCTATGATGTTAACATTACACTTTATGTCAAATATTGCCTGGTGGTTTAAACTTAAATGTTTATATTGTTTTGTTTTATATTGTTATTTGTTACATTGTTTTGTTGTTTATATTGTTTTGTTTTTGAAAAGCCGTTATCTAGAGGTTTAACTGGTATATAAATAATATATATATTAAAGGTTTAAATCATGTTGGAGGAACACTTATTTTGTTTCAACCCATGTACAGTCATGTAATTTTAGAAAAGTAAAGAATTCATTTTATAAATAAATACTTAAATATGGTTTATTTGTTTTTTGCAGGTGGGTATGATGGCAGCGACTTCCTACCCTGTGTTGAGGTCTACTGCCCAGAGAAAGATGTCTGGGAGTGTGAGACTGTCATGCTGTGTGAGCGTAGTGGCCATGGCGTGGCGGTGGAGAGGAAACCTAACGTTAGCTGATGTTTGCAGGATGCTCTATACACAGCCCTAGGGATTTTAACTAGATTGGCGTCTTTCTGAACCTGTTGAAAAAACATGACGGCGCCTGGATTATATACATATATGTTTGGAATACAGTGATGCCAAACATCAGTCGTATTAACAAACTTGATGGTTACGTCTCTTGTAAACTGAGACAAAATATGTCTGGATAACATTGCTTATGGCCAGTTCACTTTATTTCATCAATGACATATTGAAAGATACTTCAAGGAACACAGTAATAGACATTAGAACTTGACATCTTTATCAAGTTAAATAAGGCACGAGGATTCTTTTTCAAGTAAATTAATGTACCTGGATAATTCAAAAAAATATCTGCAAAAACATGAACTTCAATCAACATACAGAATATGGGATGTTTGTCACATTTATTGTAGTGTAGTTTGAATTGTGTTATGTTAAAAACACACCATATTTTATTTAACAATGATTTATACTACAGTTAAAATTGTCAAAATGTAGGCAACCATGCAATTTTTTGACAGATTAACCTGATTCTATACTTTGAAACTTAAAAAATGGTAGAATTTTCTAACAGTTAAGGGGAGAGAACTTTATACTTCATGATAATTTTTTTGTTGAACATTTATTTACAGTTTTTGTACTTGCTTATTCGCATTGATCTGATAGATCAAATGAAGAAAAATTATAGTGTTTGCACATCTAAACAACAGTTTAAATATACTGCTGAAACAAACTTGCTTTGGTCCACTTGTGGTCATTGATGGCAGCTTGTTGCCACCAGCATCTGTCAAGTACTTCAGTGACTTATTTCTAAGAACAACATGTGTGTCATTTCTATGTGTTTATATGTACATGTGTACATAAATTGAGGTGGACAATGAAATCAACCAATATTTTGTGTACATTCTGGTGACCACGTCCTGATGTGTCTATTTTTTAAATTGTGTCTAATGTACATATACTTAGTCAGTGCTTACATAAATTTATTGTTTTAAAATTTATTTAACATCTGAAATATAACTGTTTTGAACTTTTACTTGTTACGTATTTATAAAATAGTTGTACAAGCCTACCACATTTTAAATACTTATAACATGATCATGTGAAACTTTCCATGTTTAAATCATTTGTACAATAATTATTTTAAATTTTCATGTGTCAAATATTGTGTATAATAATTATATGCAACTTTCACATGTAAAACATTATGTGTGAACTCAGGGGATGATTTACCATATTTATGTTGTTATATTGTGTGTGTGTGTAGTGAAGGCTCATGCAGAACTGTGTTGTCTTTGGTACCCATATCAAACTTTCACTTTTGCCTTACCAAGTGCAATCAAACTTGTCATTATATTTTCACGTACAGTTAACAAAAATACATTTTAAAAATAATTTGTGACCCGGTGAGTTTGTTAGTTTTTTATCAAGGGATTCTTTAAGCTCAAACTTACTAGTGTTAGTTTTTGTGTATTTATTGCTCCTCATTCAATATTTAGTCATCTGCACAATACTTTATACAGCTGCAATTTTAATGAAAATTGTTATCAACCATAACACTTGTATATAAAGTAAAATTGGAAAAGTTGATTAGGTTTAAAATGATATTTAAAATAAAGTTTTATGATATAAGCTTTGGTTTGGTGTGCATACCTTCTGTGTCAAACATTAGCTAACTTTGATATAAGCCAGTACCTCTCTCCCCTTGCACTTGATGCTGAACAGCACTTGTTTTATAAACTTCAAAAATTCCAGTTGAATAGTGGTCTGTGTTTTTCACAGGCCTGATATATTGAAGAAATGTATCATTGCTTTTATAACAGACAATTGTCCAGTCTTTATCTATTCTTGTGTTACACATAAACTACACTCTGTGATATTTGTGTTGATGAAATGCTGTGAAGTTTTCCTCTACACAAGACTGTAAGTGTATGGTGATGCTGATTTCTTTTATGGTGTTTCTTTAATGTAATCTAATAATTCAGATTAATAAACAACCTACAAGGCCCCTCCTATACTGACCAATTATACGGTCAGATAATTCAAGGAAGATGGACATTTTCTTCAATCAGTGTATGAGGCTCAGCCAGAAGTATGTGAAAAAAAAGGAAAGAAATTTAAAATATTAATAGTTTTTGGTCATTAGTTTGTGACACTAAATGTTAGATGTAAAAAGTTGAATATTGTATGATGAAAATTGACATAAAGTCATTAAGAAGAAATACAGTTTTGGCTCTAAATCTAATTTTTTGTCAGGCGTGATTTCTGGCAACATTGATCAGGGAGTTTTCAAATTAATCTTTATTGGTCCTATCTCCTTTTGCACAATTGTGTTTAAATAATAGTGTTCAAACTAAATAGCAGAATCCCCTAAATACCATGTTTAAGATATATAATAATGTTCACATTCATATATATATATATATATATATATATAGAGAGAGAGAGAGAGAGTTAGTACACTTTTATACAACGAAATCAAAGGTATTTTGTCAGACTTCTGCTTGAGTATTCATCTGTACTACCTACACTTCCACTAACATTCTTGCACTAAGTGCTACTCTGTTATCTGTGCTATTAAGTTAATAATTAAGTTAAATAAACAAAAAATCAAATGAAATGTTTGCATCATTATTTTTATTTGAAAATATAATTTATAATTATGAAACCAGTCATTGATTACTTTTTTTTTCAAACATTCGTGTCAAATTTATGTTTGGATTAACAACTTGATGCTTACCTCATAATGATAAACCACTGTAGTCCTGCTCATTTCATTTGTCAGTGCCATGTCCTCTCAAAATGTGATAATTAAATACTGTGAAGAGAATGGTCTTTGTTGTGATCTTTGATAAGAATGTTTAAGGTAAGAATGTTTTTATAAGAATGTTATTGCTCTATCTGTGATTGTGATTGGAACATGAAGTAGACTTAAGCCATCCATATTTCTTTGAGCAATGTGCGGATCTAAACTCTTCTTCTAAACAAAAGTCTTTTTCATAGCACCAATTGTGCTTAACTACTTTAACTACAATTTTAGCTTTGGTAAGTTTAGAAGAATCCATTTAATATTTTCTTTCTGCAATAAGTGGTGTTGTTTCAGACCTTAGTCAGCCTTAGTGTCAAATGAGTTTAGTAAAATTAGTAAAAAAGTAACATTAGTAATAAAGAGTGTAACTTAGAATTTAGTCCTAAGTTCAAATAAGTAAACACCACCACAATTGTTTAAATATTCGGAAGCAATACAAATCACACAATGAACAGGGAAAATGATCTCATTAATATTCATTTTGAGCTATAACAGAAACAAAGATGCTATGTGACTCAAACCATGGTGGAAGGTCATGCACTTAAAAAGGGGCACTGGTAAAAAGCGGGAAGGGGGGGGGGGGGGGGCGGTAGACTTTCTTGTAAAAACTGCTAATTGCCTTTACTTTACTTTGCACACTTTAAATCTTCTCTTGGATCAAGACTTGGACCACACGTTTTATTATTTAAGATTATAATATAAATTTATTACCAGATCTAAATCTAGTCATGCTAGTGCAGATGTAGATGTTTCTAATATTTTTAATAGGCAGTTAAGGCCTATATTTAACTATATTAATTTAAAATTATAAATATTAACTAGTAACTAGCTTATAAAGTAAAAACTTTAAAAAGGGAATAATAATTTTTAAAACTGTAATAACTGACCATTGGGATTTATCTTGTTAAAACAAAAGAATCAAATATCTATTTAGACTCTATAGCTTAATTTTAACAGTAGGCCTAAACGGCAATAAACAGGCGATAAAATTGGTCTTACATTTCACAGTTAGGCCTAGGGTCTGAAAAAAATTTCTTACTGCTGCCTACTACAGTGTAGACTAGACTTTCACTTTTACCAGCAGTGCGGTCTGAAGAAAATGAAACACCTAGGTTACTACCCAGTTAAATAGAATCTAAACCTAGAATATACTAATATTTAATATTTAGATCTAATTGAATTGTTTCTAGATCTCTACTAACATTTAATAAAGGGTAATCTATCGTTTTAGCGTAATCAATTCGGCTGCAATAGTAATGTAAATGTGCGGGAGAGGTAGCTGATGAATATATTTGTTTAAATAAGTTTATTTAATATTTAGGTAATCTATCGTTTTGGGTACGTAAAATCGCCCGCGGCTATTAATGTACGAAAACGTTACCTCATTGTCAAGGCTGTAATAGAAGTATATTGTGATATGTTTGTGTCAAATATTATAGATAAATGAATAATAAACCTAAATCAATGGCTAAATATATCAATATAGGCCAGAAATTAACTTTAAACAGCTGTGTCTGCAAGCAAGATTTGCTATATAAACAGCAGCCATTTGTAAAATAGAGTGACTTCCGCCTGAATCTCGCGCTATATGTCTATAAAAATAAAACTTAAACAAGATGGCTGCTATAGTAAATGAGCGTGGTTGCATCTGTTGGAAACATCGCTGGTGTTCATTTATTACTGAAAAGTTTTAATTCAATTGTTTAAAAACAGGTACATAAATGAAACAAGGAAACATTTTTGTATTTTTCAAAACATAAATCCTCATCAAAATGTGAAATAATTATTAAAATGTAAGGAGTCACCTGTTTTTCACATTACTAGTTGCGGCCGATTTTACGTACCTAAAACGATAGATTACCAATATTTATTATATATTTAAGTCAAATTTTACAAAATATCACAGGTAATTGATTTAAAATAACAAACAGTGACCAAAACAATTTAAATAACATGAAACTAACTTTAAACTAGGTGTTTGAGATAAATATTAGTAGAAAAATAACAGCGGCCATCTTTCCAAATAAAATTTAGTAGGTTGTCTTATTACAATTTTTTAATTAAAATTTTCTGTCACTTATCATATATCATTACAAACCATATCACTTACTGGTTAATTTGAGACCAAATTTAATGGTCTAGCTTAATTAGGGGCCGAGAAAACAAACAAAAACAAAATGACCTATTAACATCTTAAAATGCGAAACTCTTTTTCGCCATCAAAAGATATCAAAAAGTTACGTTGGTTTGTGTTTTCCATTCGTAGCATGATGTCATAGCAATTACGACAACATTGGGTATTTTAGTTACCAAAAAAAACCAAAACATTTTGTTAGAAATAAAACTTTATATTCATTATGTTTATTAAGGAAATATCAGACATATTTATTATAAATTGTATGTACAATTTAAGACATTAGGCATTCCATGATGAATTGAACAATCAATACCCATGAAGATGACAATAAAATTAATATCCAAAACTAAAAATAGATCTGACAGAAATCTAGATCTAGTCCTTCTAACTGTAACGACAATACAGTATTATTAGGTAAGATGATAAATGAACTTTTTTTTAACTTTCAAATTAAATACTCTATAATTAGTATTCTCTTCTGTAGTAGCATTAGGTTAGGCGAAGTTTTCTTTTTTTTTTTTTTTTTTTTTTTTTACCAGCTATGCGTAGTAAATCTACAGTCATGTAAGCTTGCGTGAACTTAAAATGACCCTAAGTTGATTTACAATTTGCTTGGTTTATGAGGGGAGGGGTGGGATTGCCCACCGACGATCTCTAACAGCAATAGTTAATGCTGTGACGTATGTATGGTAGGCCTGCTGAACTCACGGTGAACCCTCGACCGTGTCAACATTTTTCTCCCGCAGACAAGAAAATGTAAGCAGTCGATCTCGCGAGCGATGCGAGCGACGATGTTTGGAAAATTTTGAATAATTATTTTTTTAAATATTATTTCGTTCAAAAAATTTTTTTTTGAAAAAGAAAGAAAATAAAACCGCTCGTGGCATTTCCCATGTGAAACAATAAAATAAAGCACAACTGATTTACGTCGGATTCGAACTCGGAGATTCTAGGTCACCTACCGCACCGTTCTGTTTACTCTGCCACACACCACGATGTATTGGAAAATAAAATATTAGACATTTTGTATCAAAAGATTTCTAAAACTAAAAGGAAATAATTACTACTTCATTTATTGATATCATTCTACGTAGTAACTGAGTAACTGCGTAAATTTTACACACAATTCCTATATTTTTAACTAACACAACAGCATTAACGAGGTTGACCAAGTCTAAAAATAAAAAAAATTGCCAGTAGGCCTAATTAGATCTAGCACAAAAAGGCTCGGAATGAGCATTGTTTAAAATACAATACTAAGGCCTAATTAAAAACTACATATAATTTCATATAAATTATACAGTCAGGTAGGCCACGAAGTATTAATATTAACAAGGTTAATGACCGGTCACGAATTATGTTCAATGAAACTAACAGTGCAGTCGGCCTACTTGGCTTGCAGTGAAGAAAAAAAAATCAATATACTTATAAAATTACTAATACTTTAATACAATAATAATGCCCACAATTTCTGCACATGCTAAAACTGAATTATAATTAAAATACTAGACTTAACAGTGCATTCCGCAAAAAACAAAAATTAGTTGTTTCTATCTGACAACTAGCGTAACAATGGCGTAACGTTGCTAAAAATAGCAGCGGCATGGTATTTCTATGGGGAATTGGATTTTGGCAGAAGGGAAGCAGCATCATTGTAATTAATCATGGTAAATATCTCAAATATATATTTATCTAGGAGCTGTCGAGCGCTGATGCCCGGAGGTCGGTCGTTTTTCGTTGCAGTTCAGTTCCTAATGAGAGTGCTCCATAAGAAATGCTTGTATTAATTATTACTACATATCTCGCAAATGTTTCTGGCATTTAAGCCATAGTATCCATTTCCTTAGCATTTCGCATTAAAATAGTGATGAGATATTGCTAGATTAGCAGTTTTTTCATTTTTTGTATATAGGACCCCCCAAAAACACTTAAAATGCGAAAACTAAAAGAGCATGACGTTTCAGGGTCAGGTTCTGACTTCCGGTTTTGGTAAGGAGATCGACTAAAATTTAGAGTAGTTTCCCTGGATAAAAATGTCTATTCGTATGTATATTGTGTTGACTTTGTTGTTTAATATACATACCTGTCTTGTTTAATATAAGTAAGACAGAGGGCCGTCTTCTTATCTTTAATTTCATTTTCAAGTGAAATGAAGGCTATGTATGTATGTACATCCAAGATCTCAAAAAATTTTGGGAGGTCCAACATTTACTAAACCCTTTTGTACTGATTAGGGGTCGTCCATAAATGACGTCACAATCGTAGGGGGGAGGGGGGGGGGGGGGTCGGTAATTTTGTGACGATGTGTGATGACGGGGAGGGGGGGGGTTCAGATGGTGCTACGTCACACTTTTGCTTTATAGATAAGAAATGTTAGAAAACGAATTTTAGACATTATTTAGCTTTTTAAAAAACAGTTTTAATAAATTATAATAGGAATTGATTAAAATACTATATTTTGACATATTTCAGACAAGATTTTGGAAAAATATCGATGTTTTAAAAAAAAAATCAACTGCAATTTTGAGGGGGGTGGGGGGGGTTGTAGGCTGATGTGTGACGTCATTTTAGGGGGGGGTCTGACTTTTTGTGACGACGTGTGACGAAGGGGAGGGGGGGAGGTAAAAATCGTATTAAAAAAGCGTGACGTCATTTATGGATGACCCCTTAACTTGTCAATTATTAGGTCGTCCATATTCCTCATAAATGACGTTGGACTCAAAATATGGGACGGTGTAAAATATTTTTTTCAAAAATGATGAAGAATATATTCGTTTTCGTTAGAAATTGTGATTAAGGGTTCGGGTATAGTAGAACTGCGATATGATATTAAATCATCATCTTGCTTTTAGTAACTATTGGGTGAGAGGGAAATTGTCGGGAAAAGTATGACGTCATTTATGGGCGATCCATTTAATTAAGCCTAGTTGTTTATTTTGTCTGTAGATGTCACAGACTGTATTATTATGTATCCTTATTATATTGTGTTTTGCATGAATGAAGAGTACCTGGCTAGCGGAAGGACTGTCTGAGCGATCGTCATGTGTTTTTTCATGCTTTTGGGTGAGATCGCTCATTGACGTAAGGGGAGAGAAAGTTGTGAATAAAAGGGAGAGAAAAAGGTGAACGGGTGTTGTGTGCTAGGACTTGGGACTTGAACTGTGGCAGTGAATGTAAGATGTCTCCATGACAGATGACTTGGAGTCGTGACTGTGACTGTACTTGTTGAGTATCTTCTAATATGGATTTACCATGAATAACTATGGATTTATCATTCTCACTGTATATAGTGTAAATAAAGTCATCATTTGAAGTTGCCACTATTGCTTGTATTCCTGTGTGAAAACTAACCCACAACAACAAAGAATTCATGTTGTTACAGTAGACATTAGTCTTAGGCCTACACTTTTTCTGAATTAAGATTATTGTGTTTATTAAAATAGGTTCAAATTTTAATTAGTTACATTTGAATACCACATGGTTTGTTGTTTTTTTTTTCTTTGCCTTCTGCTGTCACCAGTTTTTGATTTCTTCAGTAGTCAATGTTTACCCCTTCCACACAATCCATTATTACCAAAAAAAAAAAAACACCCACTATATGTGTCATAGCGTAGATATATAGAATTAGACTAGACGAGTAGAGGTTACTAAGGACGGTACGAACTTGACGGTAGACGATTTGGTGCGAGAGTATTGTGCGCGTGTTCAATAAAATATGTGTGGCGTGAGTGTGACGTGAGCATGGTGCGACAATGTACCGATGACGTAAGACGCAGCAGTGAAGTTAGTTGGGGGTTAGATATAGTAGAAGACGGATGTATTATTTGATATTGTGAAAATGATCTATAAGTGTATGTTAATTAAGTTCATGTTATTTCATAAACTAAGTTGTTGACATTGTTAATTAGTGCCTGCCGAACATAAGAGTGATTCCCGTCCTCCTCACGAGTATAATAGTTGCCGTATGAATAGTAG